TCGACTACATGGGAGTCCAGCGACATAGCCATTACGCTAACTCCTGGTCCCCCTGACTCTGCCTTCTGAAACTTACAGTCAGAGCTTGAAAAGACAGGCCTATTTCTCCTTATTTCCTTATTATATCTCTTCTGTTGAAGGTGTCAGAAAACTAATTGGAATTAGAAGAGAGGGGTCTGAACCCCAGCTCTGCTATATTTTAGTTCTATGATCTTGAAAACATTCTTTTAAAAAAATTTTTTTTTTCCACATGCTTGCCAGAGAGAGACAGAGAGAGGGAAAGTGAGAAATCATACTCAAGGGAGGATGAACATGCCACAACCCCTTCTCTTCCGTTCTCCTCCTGGGATTTTTTTGAGCATACATGCACATGCACCCAGCATGATTTTCAAACTGCCAGGTCTGAGACTTGAACCATGGTTGGCTATGTGGGACTCTAGTGCCTTAACCAGCATACCACGTGCCAGTCCCTCAAAAAGCTTTTAACTTCTCTGATCTCAGTTTTCTTCCTTTGGTAAAATAGAGCTACTCTTTGTTCTACCTTTCTCATCAAATTATTGTGAATATACAAATGACTGGAGAAAATGGGACTTCCAAATTAGAACAGAGGAAAAGAAGCCATAATCCTACCCTAACCCAGTTATTTTAACCTCCCATGCCCTCAGTTTCCATATCTGTAAAATGGGTATGGCCCTGCAATGGTTTAAATAATGGTTTGTCCCACCATCATTGATGTTCTTGGTCACTAGCATAATGGCTTTGGGAGGTGGTGTGACATTTAAGAAGTGAGGCTTAATGGGAGCACCATCCTACTGGCTGGGACATGGGAGGGACAAACAGAGGAATTGGAGAATGCGGTTTCCTCGCTCCTTGCATGTACCTGCCTTCGGCACTGCTTCTGTTGGCCACGTTGTGATGTTGCAGAGGCCAGCCTAGGGCCAGCTTCATTCCTTTGGACTTTCCAGCCACCAGAATCGTGAGCCAAATAACACACTCAGTTTCAGGTATCTCTGTTTAGCAACACAGTATTGGGATAATACAGGCCCCAAATCTGGCATGGTTTCAAGAAGCTGCTAAAAACAGACCAGCAGAGAATGCCATATATTCGGCTGTGTACACACTCAACATTGCTCTTTAAATAGGCCATAGAGCTAACCATCTCCTCTGTTTCCAAACAGACTACTGCCACAGCAAAACCACAGTGACACCTGTCAACTGGCTACAAAGCCCACACACTTCCAGGGGATCTACCAAGAATGACCAGCTGAATGAACTACCATGCCTTATGGAGCATCAGAAAGCTGTTGATCTGATTGGTTGTAAGACTCAAGACTCGGAGAGGGAGTGTCCTGTGGCTTTTTCGCTTAGCATCTGTATGGTAGGATCCTGCAGTGGCTTCTTTGGGGATCGGGTTGCACTTGTATAGGTTCCATCAGCTGACTCACCCTCACATGGAGAGTCAACAGAGAAATATGTGGACTGACAGCTGGTCCTGCCTCTCATGCCTGCCTACCCACTTACACCAGCTTGACCTTGGAGGGCCTTGAGCCCCAGTTAGGGGCAATAGATTGCTTTGGGGTTTTTCTCTTTTGTTTGTTTTTAAAAATGAGAGAAGCAGTTTATTTTTATCACTCATTTGAAACAGGAGGTGAAACAAACAAAAATAACCCAATACAGAACTAGCTCTACTGCTTCATTCACTTTTTATCAAGAGGGAAAAAACCAGCAATATTTAGGAATAATGGCCTCTCAAAGTTTAAAAATCGTGTCCAAACTTAACTTTGTGGCTGGGCATCTGTGAAAAAGTCTGAAAGTGTGGTTTCCACTGTTACTGTGGGGTGCTGTGTTGTGCTATTACTCTTTTAAATATTTGCACTTGACACTTTTGCATTGTTTTAAAGAACTCATCCTGTTAAGCCATTTCTTAAAAAAAAATACATATATATATGCTAAAGGACTACAGGGTAAAAATAAAACATCCTATGGAATTTCTACTTCAGTGGCTGGGCAGCATTTTTTTGTTTACTCTGTTACTCACTGCTTGAAATTTCATGGCAGATCCTGGGTAATAGGCTTTTTCAGCTGTGAATGATAGACACCCATTCAAAGGTGCTTTGGAAAGGTGTGGGTGGTACTTGAAGGATTCATTTCACTCAGTCAGAAAGTCAAAGAGTAGATCTTCAGGACCTGCTGGATGCAGGGGCCCAGGTGTATCACTAGGTATCTCTCACCTTTCACCTCTCAGCATGAGCTGCTTTTTCACATGGGCCCACCCTCTGTGGGGATCCCAGTGGCACTCCCTACTGGGCAAGAAAGGTGCTCATTTCCAAAGGTACATGCAGGTATTTTGTGTCTGGCTCTGACTGGTAGGGAGCAACCTGAACCAGTCATTGTGGCCAGGAGGAGGGGAATGCTGATAGAATAGGGCTAGGACACGTATCTACTCAGGAACCAGGAGGTATGGATCAGCCCCCAGGTTCTACATAGGATGAGGCTGCTGGGGTACAAGGAAACCAGGCGAGGCTCCCAAAGGTGTCTCAGAAGGAAAAGAAATGTTTACTGGACAGACAAAAGCAAATGCTTGATATAACACAGGGGGCCTTAATTTGATACTGAAACTTTTCTGCATCCTATGACATTCAGCCACACTTGCCACTAAGTATGAACCAAGAACGACCTGTTCCTGCCAGCACCCTAACAGCTAGTGTTTGCTGAATATTTCTTTGCTTTATGCAGGTGTCTGATGTTGTCTATGCTGTTCAGCTAGCTGGGTTCTGAGGCTTCAGTAATGAAATGGAAAGGTCCTTGGTGTCCCTCCTGAAGTACACTTTCGAATACAAGAGTCCCTTAACAAGTGTATTCATTTTCTGTTACTATGTAACAATTTACCACCAACTATAGGCTTAAAAGAACACATGTTTATTATCTCACATTTCCCACTTATTAGGCTTTCCGCAAAACTGCAGTCATGCTGTTGCCACCACTGGGCTCTCACTTGAGGTTTGAGCCACCTCCATGCTCACGTGGTTGTTGGCAGATCCAGGTCCGTGATGGCTGCAAGCTTGGGACCATCTGTTTTTTGCTGCGTGCTCCTCTCCACATGGCAGTTCCCAGCATGGCAGTTTGCTTCTTCAAAGCCGCCACAGAAAGAGCCTCTTAAAATGTTGAACATTAGGGACCAGCAGTTAGCGTAATGGCTGTGTCGCTGAACACCCATGTAGTCAACTGCAGTTCGAGTCCCAGACTCGGTGGCTTAAACTCACGCCGGGCGCATTTGTGTGCGTGCTCAAGATCCTGAGAGGAGAATGGAGAAGGGATTGCGGCGTGGCCATCCCCTTGGGGTGGGGGGCGGTGATTTCTCTCTCTCTGTCTCTGTCTTTGTGGCAAACGCAGGCGCCCTATAGCAAAAAAACCTCCCCCCCCCCAAAAAAAATAAAGTTAAACATTACATTCTTAGGGTAACGTGTATGTATAACATGTCACCTTTTATTCTGTATTCTGTTGGTTAGAAGCAAGTCACAGGAACCACCCACACCACACCCAGGAGGAGGGGATCACTTAGGAACATGCAAACCACAGATGGGGATCATGGGCTCCCCCCAGAGTCTACCAACTTCAACACACAAAATATTAATCTGTGTTATGTGCATTGAAGAAAAAAGACTGATTTGTAACCGGGAGAGCTCGCTTTAACTGCAGTGATTAGTGGTTTCATTTCTTTGAACCAAAGAGTAAAATGTTGCAGCCATGCCAAGCAATGGATGAAGAGTGTTCCTGGCAGAGGACATGGAAGCTCCAAATCCCCAAAACTAGAAGGAACTTAATGTGTTTAAAGAAAAGAAATGATGTCAGTGTGGCTGGGTCTGGTGAACAAAGGCTGAATGATGGCAAGACAGGAACTCACTACACAGGACCTCAAGAAGTATACACCAAAGAGTTCAGGGAAGAAAGTGGAGAACTTCCCATGAAAGAGCGACATAGCTAGACAGGTTTTTCTTTTTTTGAGAGGTTTTTTGCTGCAGGGTGCGTGCGCTTGCCAGAGAGAGAGAAAGAAAGCGAGAAATCACCCCCCAGGGAGAATGGCCATGCCACAATCTCTTCTCCTCCATTCTCCTCTCAGGATCTTGGGCACGCACGCACACGTACCCAGCATGAGTTTAAGCCACCAACCAGGTCTGGGACTCGAACCACGGTTGACTACATGGGAGTCCAGCAACACAGCCATTACGCCAACTGCTGGTCCCCCCAGATAGGTGTTTTAATATTGCACTCTGGTAAATGGATTGGTAGCAGGAAAGCCAAATAGTAGGTCTGTAGAGGCCCAGAATGAGGATGGATGTGGCATAAAACTTAAGCTAGACTGAAGTAATAGAAAGTAGAAGCACTGGGAGATGGATTGCACATGGACAGAGAAGGATAGGGGGACACAAGGTTGGCACCTGGATTTTTAGTCAAGGCAGTGGATGGACATGATTTTCTGAGATGATGGTGGCTGTTTGAAGATTTAAACCCAGTTTTGCTCACATTCAGATATACCTTTTTTAAAAGTTGATTTGCTTTCTTGAGACATCACACCCCAGTCTTCCTCCAATCTCAGCTGGCTGACCCAGATCATGGACATTCATTTGTGCATCTGGCATGTTTAGACAGGTCCCAGGACACGAACCCAGGACCTTTCTCCTGTGTGTCCAGTTATGTTGCTGCTATACCATCACCTGGCCCACAGAAAAGGCCTTTATTTATTTATTTATTTATTTATTTATTTTGAGAGGTTTTTGCTACAGGGCACATGCGCTCACCAGACAGACAGAGAGAGAGACAGAGAGACAGAAAGTGAGAAATCACCCCCCAGGGGGGATGGCCACGCTGCAATCCCTTCTCCTCGTTCTCTTCTCGGGATCTTGGGCTCGCACACACACGCACCCGGCATGAGTTTTAAGCCAATTGGTCTGGGACGCAAACCACGGTCGACTACGTGGGAGTCCAGTAACATGGCCATTACGCTAACTGCTGGTCCCCAGAAGAGGCCTTTTTTTTTTTTTTGAGAAATTTTCACTGTAGGGCGCGTGCGCTCGCCAGACAGACAGAGAGAGACATAGAGACAGAAAGCGAGAAATCACCCCCCAGGGGGGATGGTCACGCCGCAATCCCCTCTCCTCCACTCTCCCCTCGGGATCTTGGGCACACACGCACACGCGCCCGGCGTGAGTTTTAAGCCACTGGGTCCGGGACACGAACCGCGGTCGACTACATGGGAGTCCAGCGACATAGCCATTACGCCAACCGCTGGTTCCCCAGAAGAGGCCTTTTGACACAAGAGAATACATCAAGTTGGCATAGAGAGTAGGTCCAGGTTGGGGATAGAAGGTCTGGGAATATTTTCCGGGCTGAGTGCTTTATAGGCTTCGTGTGGGATGCTTTCCAGAGAGTAGCCGGAGATTATTTTGAAACATCTTCCTGATCATGTAACCACTGTTATTTCAAACTGTCAAGTGCACGATGCTTTTGCACTCGGTGCTTTTGCACATGGCTCTTAGAAGTGCTAACTCTTCTTCTCATGGATCAATCCATGATCAAAACTAACCACAAGGTGCCCCTGCCAGCTTCTCATTCTCATTTTTTGTATTCCATCAGTCACTGGATTTGAGAGATGTAACCAAGATTCAGAGCTTCAGTGATCTACCTAATTCAGCAAGAAACATGTCTAAATCAAGGCTTTATAG